ATATGGTTAGTTATATTTGTTATTGTCTTGATTTTTGTTGTTAGTGTCATTATTATTATTATTATTATTATTATTATTATTATTATTCGTTTATGATCTTTAGAAATATAAATTTTCTGAATTTGAAATACGGCTGTTTGAGTGTTTAGCGCATATGTTCTGAATAAAAGATGTTTTGTTTCAAAATAGATGAGATGAAGTACGATTCTTTGCCTCCAATGAGCGGAATACTGAATTTCGACCAAACTATCGATTCAGTTGCATTCACGCCAGCGAAAGGACTTCGGATACGTCAACAGAAAGTCGAGCCACTTGACGGTACGCTTACTCAAGACCATTCGATTATTGTTTCGTTTTGTCTTCGTTCTCTTCATCTCGTTGATTCTTTAGTGCGCAGTGTATAGAAGACAAGCGATACTAGCTGATATACGGATTACATTTCCAATTGCATTCAGTTTGGGTTGTAGTGTAATAATGCGAGTCTGCAAATGAATCGTTGTCGTTGAATTCGCAAATTCAGAAAAGAATATCAAATCAGATTTGAAGAGTTGGACGTCGATTTTCGATTCATTTTTTCGAGATAAAAGATTGATCAAATTGTTTTGATTTCTCGTGACCGAATGCTGGATGTTTTTGTCGGAAGCGTGGAACGTACAGTCGTAAAGGATTTTAGATGCAAGCAGGCAACTGATTGAAGTAATGGAAGATTCGTTTGCGATTGAACCTTTGGATGAGCGGAAAGAACGCGAGAAGATGAGACATCGAATTGAGCTGAAGAAGATAGAACCCGAATTCGATATTGCATACGCGATACCTCTTCAAGAGTCATTCGTGACGAAGATGAGAGCCAAACGATCAACACTCGTCGACCAATCGCTCTTTAATATTCGTCGTACGCGAATCGGATGGACGCACGGTTTGTTGATTTTTGTACTTATCCGAAAGCATTTCATTCACGCTCGTTTCACTCATTCATCTCTTTCGTTTCATCTGCAGTACTAACTTCTTGTACGTATATGACCCTGTGTTCAATTTTAACGACATTTTTCAACATGCTTTCTCAGTTTCAACATTTCGAAAGATGTGTTCCCTGACTGTTTTACATTATTTCCAATTATTTCACAATTGCTGAAAAGAAAGTATCAGTCGAATGACTGAGTTACATTTTGAAGGAGGACTGTTTGTAAGTAGTGCATTACCGGCATCATTTGACGTCCATTTGATAAAGATTGATTATCCGGATGAACTGCCTCAGGTATTATTCTCTTTTTTTTGGTATTTCGTTTGCAGTTTTTTGCACCTAGCTGCAGCTTTCATATTACGTCTGTACCTGACCAACTGATACGGTTTGTGTTCGTCGGTAATTATCTACTTGTTGGAATGTTTTCTGTCGACATCTGAATAAATCGCTTGAATAACTATGAAATTTGGTAGTTTAAAACTGGTAGGTCGGAATGTAGTCATGTCGACTGAACGTAAAGTGTGCTGGATAAATCAAGGATACAATCTATCGTAGTGATGTTTACTCTTTCTGTATATGTTGTGTGCGCAAAGGATATTT